AATCTATAAGGTGCTAAAATATAATCTATAAGGCTAAATATAATCTATAAGGCTATAAAGTTTTTTGTTAATCGCTCTTGAATATAACCGAATCTGTCCATATGTCCAAGTTTGAAGTTGTCCTTGATCAAATCCAAACTATATTTCCACAAACTTCCAAAACTTATTTCATTCATCTTTCTCAATTTAAATTGTCCACAGGCTAAATTAAATTACCTTCAATATCGTTAGCTTTTGACATTTTCTCGGCCATCTCCATGATTATATTTTCACGGCGCTTTAATTCCTCACCGTCATTTTCGTTTACCCCAGAACTGACTAAATCAATAAAAAGTTAGGAAATATCTCTAATATCTCTACCATTGAGTGGCCATTTCAATTCTGATTGAGTTTCAGAAATGCTTTTCTATTACATAATTAAGGCATGACATATTCCGTCATAATTTCTTTTGGATACCCAACAATCCCTTTCAAGGATATTACTTCCTTTGGAATTTAACATCAAGCATTGTAGCTACTAGCACCTCCATTTCTCTCGGTTCACTTTCCATAGAGTACAAAAAAGACAGGAATTATCAGATCAAGCAGACAGACCAAGAGTCACCAGGTGTTGGATCGAGAGATTTTGAGTTTCCGAATTCAGCATAGCAAATACGACTGCCTAAGCATGTATATAATAAGGAAAAGATGAATTCAAAACTTAAATACGATCCAATTTATATTATTATTTATGCAAATTATTCGAACTTTCCTATTTAGAACAAGTATATCCTATTCTGGAATGTCTTGTTCATGGATCTCGAGCTCATTTTGAATTTTCTGAAATCAAAGGACGAGAAACGACAAGGAACTCAGATCAGAATCACACTACAGGGTCTAATAATCATCAATTTCACATTTCCAAAACTGTATAATTTATGTGGGAACAATGTTTATTCTTAAACGTATGGTAATACTAAATTTCCTCCTAAACTGCGACCAAAGAGGATATTGTGTAGTTGAAAGTGTAAAGGAAAAATTGATGTGTGAAGTGATGTAAAAAATTCAATTTTTAGCTAATTTTAGCTTCTGCCGATTGTCAGCTGTTATCATTTCGATCAAAATAACTTTGCAAAGATAACATATTTTAATAATTGTTTACTTTAGAACATTTCTTCACTTTGGGATCTGTTCGTTTTGCTTCTTTCAGAATTTGAAGAATTATTTGTTCTTTTATTTGTTGCAATATATGTATTAAGAAACTTTTTCAATTGGAAAAAGATCCTTTTTAAGGCAAGCAAATAATATAAAATAAAGGTGATAAGAAAGAAAAAAGAAAGAGAAGCAAAATTCATCTTTGTGAAATGAAATAAAATTTTCTTGCTACGCATTTTTCAATGTTTCGAATCTTTCAATTTGAAACGAATATGTGGATATCGATGATATAGACACAAATTCTCACATTTTAATCTATCCTTTTTTCAAATATATATATATATATACATGGGACGGTTGAAATGCGATACTAATATCAATTATTAAGCCGAGCATAACTAGTACAACACTTGTCACAAAGTCATGTAGAGCAACCAATCTTTAACATATCTATAGATTTACGATGGAATGAACAGTTTGAAATGCACTCAACTTCACCTTTCCTCTTTTTGGCTTTTGAAATAATTATTGTTGTCAGGCAAACAAAGTTATCTATTCATTATTTTGGAAAGGGTCACCTACTGCATTGTTTACATTGGTCAGTCATATTACCGCAATTCTCACACTTACTTGTAGAAAAGTAATCTTTTGCGGCAATGAAAACTTTTGCAAATGTAAAAACTTAACGAACTCTGATAATTTTCTGCTCTTACCACATTTTCCTCCTATATATTGTAGAGCAGAAAAAAATCGTGGAAATATGTCACATGTGAAATGACAAACTGGTAATGATCAAACAATGCCGAGATCTCGCTAACTCAGTCATGTATGTTTTATTTCATATATATTTCAACGTTGCTTGTTTTTAACTGCTCAAAGCACAATTTTTAACAAGTGATTGCAGCATCTGTTTGTTTTCAGTTTGTTTTAAACTCAGATTTGATTTGGAATTTAGATTCAAATTTTCTTTTTATCCTATGCAATGGTATCAGATATCTTGTGTAACTTTAAAAAATGATATACAAATCCATATTTTGTTTTCTTCTTATACAGCAGTTAGTTAACTTAAAAAGAAGCATTTTAGCATATAATGGATATTCTGAAAGAATTTCTATTAGAACAAGTTCGAGTTCACAAGAAACTTTGTGACGTGCGTAAGCTCAAAGCCAAATTTGAATAGGAATGGGTGAGACAAATTCCCACAAGCAATCGAAATCTTGGAAATGCTGTTTTTGTATCAAATTGTGACGAAGAAATTGTTTCAAATTTTTAGTAAGGAACTGTAATCGATAATACCACTTATTTCATACTTTTTATGAAGGGCAATTTTAATTTGAATCGACAAGAATGGCGGTGAAAATGTTGACTTCACATAAGTTTTAAGTAATGTAAACTGAAACTTTGTTCACTTCCGGATATAAACCTGCCATTCTTCATTCCCATAATTTTGAAAAAGCTAGTGCATAATGAATATTTTTCTCGACCACTGAACTAGATATGACAGTTGCAGACATGATTCGATATTTGAAATGGCTTAAGAAGGAGATAGGAGATCATGTTTTACCACATATCAGTTACTTTTTCTTACAATATTGTGTAACAAAAAGTTTTTTTTCTTTTTTCAATTTACTTTAGAGGAGAGATTATTTTCCACAAATTTATCTGGTCAAACTGATTTTTTAAAACTGAACTTGCTTGGACATTTTTAATGAAACTTTTAGTCGGTGTCTGGTAGATGATAAATCATTGAGATGCATATCCATAAAGCGAGTATGTTATCCAATCAATCAAACATTGTCAGTGTTATTTCGATGAAATTCGAACTTAGCTGACAATATCACTTTGACAAGCTAAATTAAGAGAGAGAGAGAAAGAAAGAAAGGAAGATCTGACATCTCTGGAAATAATTACTTCAAAAGTGAATTCGATTTTTGTGACATCAAGTTAAGTATTTTACTATTTAACTAATGCAACTTACTAATACTTATTTAAAGTAACTTTGCTAACTAATCATTCATAGTTAATCAGGGAATCTTTAAGGCGAATCGAGACCTAAGGATTTAATGCATTGTGGGACATAAGTTTTCAATGGGTGAAGGATGAAAATATATTTACAAGAAATAAGAATAGGAGGTGCAAAATTTCGCAACATTTAGGAACTTTTCCAGATCTAACTTTGTGACCTCACTGTCTATACCTGATTATGCAGGGATATATATATATATATATACTGGTATCCAAATGATGAAATGCTTACATCTACTTTCACCAATTCTTTAATTATTTATATGTTCTGAAACATTTGTCACTCTACAGAATGGAAAATCACAAGACTAGTCAATTAGTATAAGTTCAATTCTTCCTTTTTGCTCTGCTCCTTTTCCTTCTTTCCTTCTCCTTTCCCTTCCTTCCCTACCTCTACAACTCTCGAACTACTCGTCTTCCCCCACATTCTTAATCAGTTCTAACGAATATCGGTGAAAGATATCAATGCTGGATTCTTAGATTCGTATATTACGACATTACGGATCATTTCTATTTTTTCCTTACAATTTAAAATTGTCATTAGAATAAGTGATCAAAGCTACCAGGTTTGACATTTATTTACTCATTGTTTATTTGTTTTTTGTTTATCTCAATACAGTCTTGTATCTTGTTTACAGTAATGTTTATTGTATGATCGATCGGTCGTTTCGCATCGGTTTGTAATTTACGCATCAGCAAGCAGTACAATTCATTTAATATCTTGAAAGTTCGATTATTTGTTCAGTTTGCAATTGGAATTGTGAAGTTTATCACCATAACTTTAACTGTGGTAGTAGATTTTGACCGTTGTAATAGTAGTAATGAGGAAAATTAAATGAAAGTTGGAAACAATTAACACACTCAAAAGTAATTAAAATTCAAAGCGTTACATCTTTAACAAGTTAAAATGTTTTTTTAGTGTTTAACTTCTGTGAAAAATTGAATTCAGCTTTAATTTTTATCGTAAAAATGACAAAGGCAAAAGGGAGGAACAAATTTTCCAACTAAGTTTTTTAGCTAAAGCAGATTGTTGTGTTTGTTGATTGGCCATTTGATTGACTGAAAGTGCCATTTTGTTCGGTCCGCTTTCGACAAGTTTTTAGTGACATGCTCGCACGATATTCGAGACTGTGAACTGCAATGTTGGGAGCACAAACAATTCGAACAAAACAGGTCAAATATG